GCAGGGTCGGGTATTGGGGGGGGACCACCGGGGGGCACCAGTGGAGTCTCCCTCCATCCCCTAGCCTCTGCCATCCACCCACTATCCTCATGGCGCCCATTGTACTCTGCAATAGCATGAATACTGAAGAATACTGAAGAAAACTGAAATTTCTGAGAATTTTGTGGGGAGCCTCACCTGCTGGGAACCGGTCCCAGCGTCCCATGAATATTTATGTGCAAAACAGTACCCCTCCCCTAGCTCCTGCGCTCCACCTACTGTCCTCATGGCGTCCCGTGTCCCATATACCCTTTTTATTTTTTTTGCGGGCCGCTCCATCTATTGGTGGGGAGCAGCACCTGCTGGAAACCGGGTCCAGYGTCCCATAAGTACATCGTTGCAAACCAACATGCCTCCCCTAGCCTCAGCCAGCCACCTACTATCCTCTACTCTCCTCTTGGCGCCTATTGTGTTTTGCRCATCTGTAGTAGCGAAACAAACTGAAACAAACTGAAACAACTTAGAACACACTGGAACGGCTGCAAGGACTGGAAGGACTGGAAGAACAAGGAGCAACAGAAAACAGGCTGGCCAACCAGGCTGAACTAAGCTGCTCTGAGCTGCGCTGAGATCCGCTGCAGTCAGCTGAAGCATTCTGAGACTTTCTGGACGCTTCTCAGTCCGAGCTCATGCAGGCGGCAAGATTTCTGCTAAGGACAACGGATGGGGTGGGAATGGATCTGCAAAGTCCTGGGCTGGGCGTAACGGGGAGCCGGGGTCTATCTTGGTCCAGTCGTGAAAAATCAACTGATAGTCTCTTATTATTTCTGCCTGGGGTTCCCCTCGGGGTTCCCCTCGTGCTTCTCTCTCTGGCTGACGCCCGGTCCACTTTACTGCTGCCACCCATCCCTCCCTTTCTCCCCCCAGCCATTCCTTACAGAATGTAGAAATGGTCTGGTTCATGTCTCCCCAGGAGGACATTTGGTCGAGCTTGTCTTCAGTTGTCTTCCATTGTGTCGCCAGCTCATAATGAATCAATGTCCGAATTTGATCCATCGCCTCTCCGTCCTCCACCCGTGCTCCCTCTAACTCCAAACAACATCTTCTCCACCATATAGTCCATAGCACACTCCGTCTACCCAAGTTGAACATGTTCTCCTCAAATGTCTTCCCCCGGATTGGAGGGAAATGTCCCAAAAGTATGGCCCTCCACTCCCA